AGGGCGGGCAGCGGCCGCGGGCCCGGGCGGGGCCGGGCTGGGGCCGGGGCAGGTGCCCGAGGGCAGCGCGGAGCTCCCCTGTCCCCTTCCACCCGGCCGAGCTCCCCTGCTGCGGTGCAGGCTCTCACCTCCCCGAGAGGGCACCTCTGCCCGGCCACTGCCGGGGTGGGCACAGCCCGAGCCCGGTGACAAAATTCTGCCGGCAGAATCCTGCAGAGAACCAAGGACAGCTCTTGGCCTCAGGGCAGGCACCCTTTTTATTAGTTCTGGTTTAAAGATAAATACAAATTCTTTGGTGTCATCGAGCCCATTTAAAAATTATTTTTTTTAACTTTTCATAGAATCTTCACAGAATCATAAAATTGCCAAGGCTGGGAGAGATGTTTAAGATCAAGTTTAGGTGCCAACCTGGCACTAGCACTAGAACCCTAAACAACTAAATCACAGTACCCAATGCCAGATTCAGCCACTCCTTAAACACTTCCAGGCGTGGTGATTCCACTCCCTTACTAAAAGGAGAGAGGGTGGTCAGCTGTTAAGGCATGTAAATGGACCTTAGAGATCTTATAGTCCCAATCTCCCTGCTATGGGCAGGGACATCTCTCACCAGACCAGGTTGCTCAAGGCCTTAGCCAGCCTGGTTTTGAACTCTGCAAGGGATGGAACATTCAAACCTCCCTGGGAAAAGTGTTCCAGTATCTCATCAACCACATAGTAAAGAATATTTAGAAGAATGCCCTAATATCAAACCTAATTTTTCCCTCTTTCAGTTTTCTACCCATTACTCCTTGTCCTATCGCTACAGTTCCTGATGAAAAGCTCCTCTCCAGCTTCCCTGCAGGGCTCCTTCATACACTGGAAGGTTGCTGTGAGGTCTCATTCAATCTTCTCCAGACAAAACAGCTCCAACTTTCTCAGCCTGTCTTGTTTTCATCTTCATGGCCCTCATCTGGCCTTGTTCCAACTTGTTTCATGTCCTTCTTACATTGGGGACATACTTCTCTGCCTTTTTATTCCATCTTCATTTTTATATCTCACTCCAACCCTTTTGCATTTTTTATTTCTATTCTCAAAACAAACAGAAAAAGTGCTTTCTTCTGGTTTGTTTGCAGCCTCAGGATACCATTCCAAATATTTTCATTTACTTTTTTTATTTTTTTAATCTGCATATTTATCTGTGTCTTATTCAGAGTGAAAACAAATACTTGAATATTATGTCAGTTGCTCTCAATTCTGCTGCTTGACTATGATTACACAGCACTATTTGAAACACCCTTGAGACAGTGAAGTGGTTCAGAAGTGCTGTTTACAGCCCCTGACAGAGGCCCTGTTCCTCTTCCAGCTCTGTCTACAGAGCTGATTAAAGCAAGCACAGTATAAAATGAAGGTTGGGGCCGTTTGTGCTGCCTTCCTGGTCAAACTATGCTTGGTCCAGAATTAGAGAATTTTGACTTTCTGGAGATTATACTCACATCTGAGAGTCAATTGAGAGACCCAGCAGTTCTGGGCAGCTGGCTACAGCTGTCAGCCTGATTTGTGGCCAAAGATGATGTATTTATTTTAAACATAATATTTAAATTAAATAATTATTTTTTACCCATGAAACTTCATAAAATATCATAAACAGGTAGAAATTAGACCAAATATTCCTTATATTTCTTATCTTTAGCCAGTTCTGCAGTCTTTACTTTCAGCTGCACCAAGAAAGCACTGACTGGCACATGCTGCCTGAAGCTGTCCCAACCTTAGTGGAACACAGTGTCAGCTGAAGGGCAGAACTGAAATCTTTCTGTAACTGAGATTAATTTTGTGTGAAAAAAGTAAGTTGTTCATATTATCTGCCTGCTATGAATTATACTGTCAAGAGATGACATACTAAATCAGAGAAAAAATTTAGAAATATCAGGATCTGGTGCTTCAATTCTGATTTTTTTCTCTCTTTCACAACAGTTACAGTATCAAACAGGGAATCGCAAGAGCCCTTCCTTGAAAGAAATCTGAATTTCTTACAGCCATGTAAAGTTTTCTTTCCTGCTTACATTTTACATTGTAACAGAAATTTGTATTTGCTCTCTTTTCGTAGGAATACTGTACAGGTGGCTGGAGAGCAAGTAGGATTAAACCTTGAGAGGCAAGTTGAGAGCAGATGAGTCAAAAGAATTGCCTAGAAGAGAAAAAAAATATTTTAAAATATTTTGTCCTTTGGTTTTCTAACTTAATATTGGGCATATAATTAACCCAGCAATGTGTGATGCTCATTTATTTGATGACCTTGCAAAGAAGTTGTATCCATTTGCCGTGTATAGATGGAATCAAGGAACCTTACAGTGAACAGAAAGGAACTGTGACACAGAGCAAGTGCTGAGAGGCAGTGTACATTAGGTTTGTCACACTACTGTGATGACACAGCTTCCACACAGAAGCTGGCTCCTCTCCTGCCAGCTCAGAGCTCAGGCAGAGTGAACATGTGAGCATGCATCCATCTGCCCAAAGTCTCTCAGATTTCCATGAAGGTAAGAAAATGCATTATCCTGAAGAACATACAGATTGCTCTATGAGTCCTGGTTCACATTTGTGCAAATGTTACTGACTTACATATATTCCTGATTCATCTTTAAAACAATAAATCTTTGGAGTTTACTAGCTGAAGCTCTGCTTCTAAAATACTGTCCTCCTGCTGATTTTCTGGAGTTCACCTGTAGTTTCCTTCTCCTGTAGTCTGGGGAACTGATTAATCTTGATTTGAAGAGGCTATTTAGGAACTAAGTAACAATTCTATGATGATGTGAAGCCATTTATGTCTTTCCTCCTGGGTGCTTGCTAGTGAGCATATGGGTTATACCATCTTGTGCAATGCACAACCACGTATTAATATACACAGAAACTGGAAATCCAAAACTGGAATTCCAGTTCCCCATACTTCCACCTGAGAAACAAATGAATCCCAACAGAATAGGATTTTGCCCTCCTGACTAAACCAATAACCATCCCACATCCTGCAAAATATTCTTTCGATAGTGTGTTCATGGGATAAAATTTTCCCACTAAAAATCACTGCAGGAACATTCTCTCATCAAAACATGAAACCAAGTGGCTGCTGCTTCTTGAAAAGCATGAAGGTGTTATTGTGAACATTGCTCTAGTATTCACAGGGGAAGGGAAAAAATAGCAGCCTTTTAGAGAGGTTTAACTCAAATCCCCATGTGCAGCAGTGTTGCCTCCAGCCTGAAGCCAATGTAGCTTTTGATCCTAAGCCTTGCAATCTGAAGTTATCCTGTGGTTCTGCAGTTGTGTTTATTTTGGAAGATACACAACAAATAACAAGAGGAAGGATATACGAGATAACACAGAGAGCTATAGGGAAAGGGGTTGCAGCTCCAAGGAGGGGGGACCTTTTTGCATGTGGCCTCTGAAAACCAAAAAAATGTCTGTAGATAATATTTGCTTTTTCTATTCTCCCTTGGGCAAACAAAAATAAAGGGCAGAGGGAAATGATGTTTTTTCTAAATTATAGCCCTGGGTTACTAAGGATCAGATAATGTTTTAATCAGTTGATCTACTGAGGAGGGGAGCAGAAAGTTTTAACCTCAAATTCCTGGAGAAGGCTGTAGAACAGACAGGAAATCCACACACTGTAAAAAGGAATCTGCTGTGAGCTGAAATGCTGAAGTTCTGTTCTGGGGGAAAAAAATACCTTCCATGTGAATTTGCTTCCATCTCAGTTGGAAGGAAAAGTTAGAATTCATACTCGCCTATATACTAAGCATTCCCCAAAGCTGAGTTTTGGGAACATGAAAGTGGCCTAATCAGAACATTTAATTTGAGTAAAGTCATAGCATTTTGTTTCGATAAAGTCAACAGACTTTGTTTCAGCTTTTGATCTGGAAGCTCTCTGACAGAGAAAATGATGGAAGCCTGTTCTCTGAAGATGTATTGCTTCCTCAAAAATCTCATGGATTGTTTTTTCAAGCAAGCTGGGGGAGAAGAAGTTAATTGGAATTTAACTCTGCAGTGATGGCAGCTTCATAGTAATCCAAAAGCCACTAAAGCATTCTAGTAAAGGGCAGCATTAAGAGTGACAGCAGCTTGAAAATCCTTTGTGCTGGCAAGGATACTACATTTTATAGATACATACACATATATATCTTTGTGCCACAGTAGAACGAAATCTATTGAAAAAATGCCGTATTTTTCAATTACATTTTAAATGAGCATAATTAAGCATATAAGGTAAAAGAAAAGGCTTGTTAGTACCTGAGCAGTTAATTGTGACTGGTCGTTTGTTTGTAGTGGTAACTAGCATTTGTTCTCCTGATATCAGCTCCTCTAGAAGATACCAGGATAGACTTGCTAAGAAGCCAACAACCAGGAGTGGAAAAAAATAAGGATGGAAGTATTACAAGTAGATTAAATGTTCATCAGTGGGAACAAGGAAAGAAAGAGCAAGAGAAAATGTTACTGTCCTCAAGGGAATTATAAAGGCAGCAAGCTAAGGAACCTGCAAACAAGGAAGAGCAGGATTCTGACTAAGAACAAGTGAAAACACATTATCTTGTCCCAAAACGTCCACCACTGCTAATTTTCTTGAAAATTAAATCAGATGCAGATCCAAATATTCATTAATAATTAAAGAGATTATTAAAAAACAGTTGTGTAACTAAATGCAAGAAAAATGTCACAGGTGAACAGGTAAAGAAGAAGGGACTATTGGCCACAGCTGATAGAAGCAGAGTGAACAGAAAAAGCAAGAAAGAGGAGTGATGAAAACAGTGATTTACTGCAGTTGAGCTCTTAATGGAAACAGATTAATTTCAGGTTCTACAGGAGAAAGACCTGAAATATTTACTCTGTTATCACGTCTGATACTGGGGAGGAAGGCAGTTATTTTAAAGGAGATTCATATGGCTGATAAGGAGGAAGGAAGTAAGGACAAGTTTAAATTAAGACATGAGAAACTAGGGAAGTACAAAACAACAAACACTGTCAAGGAGATGGACTAGGTGACCTTGCAGGTCTTCTCTATCAGATGCTTCCTTGACTCTCTATGAAGAGAGCAGGGTCTTAGTAACTGATATTTAGGGTGTCACTGTCCAACTTCAGCAGACTTGTCCTGCTAGAAAGAAATAGACTGCTTCTCTGCAATCTCTTTAGAATAATGAAGATACTGAAATGCAGCTCAGAGTTTCATCAAATCAACTCTATAAAATACTGGCAATGAGCAGAGGTACAGCTTTTCTTCTCTTACTCTCCAAGTGTAGTGGTACCTGAGTTGGTTTTGTTTTGGTGTTTTTTCCAGCTGCTTTGTACTCTGCTGAGAATAACCAGGATAATTGTCTGGGCTGATCTGCAGTCACTTCAACAATAGCCACTCTGTCCATCTAGGGGCTTGCATCCAGTTCATATCTGTGGTCACACTCCAGTAGTTTCCTACAGCCTTACACTGGGAGATACCACAGCCCACCATTTTACGGAATCCTAGAATAGTTTGGTTGGAAGGAACCTTAAAGATCATCGAGTTCTAACTGCCCTGCCATGGACAGGGACACCTTCTGCTAGATCAGGTTGCTTAAAGCCCCATCCAACATGGCCTTGAACAACTCCAGTGACGGGGCATCCCAAACTTCTCTGGGCAACCAGTTCCAGTGTCCCACCACCCTCACAGTAAAGAATTTCCTCCTAATATATAAACAAAATCTACCCTCTTTCAGTTTAAAATCATTACCCCCTCAACCTATCACTGCACTCCTTGATTCAGAGTCAGTCCCCATCTTTCCTCAGGGCCCCCTTTAAGTACTGGAAGGCCACTATAAGGTCTCCCTGGAGCTTGGCTAAAAACCACAACTCTCTCAGTCTGTCTTCATAACAGAGGTGCTCCAGCACCCCGATCATCTTTGTGGCCCTTCTCTGGACCCATTCCAGCAAATCCATGTCTTTCCTATGCTGGGGAATCCACAACAGAGCAGAGGGGAAGAATCAGCTTTCTCAACCTGCTGGGCATGCTTCTATTGATGCAGCTCAGGGTATGATTAGCTTTTTGGTCTGCCTGAGTATATTGCCATCTCATATTCAGCTTTTTAACCACACATACCCCTAAAATCTCCTGTTCAGGGCTGCTGTCAATATAGTCATTGCCTAGCCTGTGTCCATGTTTGGGGTTGCCCTGAATTGACCTTGTTGATCTTCATGAGGCTCACACAGGCCCAAATCTAAAGCCTATCGAGGTCTGCCTGGATGTCATCCCTTCCAATCAGATTATCAACTGCATCAACAGTCAGCTTGCGTCATCCACAAATTTGCTGTGGGTGCACTCAATATCACCGTTCATGTCCTCAGTGAAAATGTTAAATTATATTGGTCCCATATGGTCCCCCGAGGGACATGACTCACCACTGGTCTCCATCCAGACATTAAGCAACTATTTTAGTGCAATTCTCTGAGTGCGACCATCCAGCCAATTCCTTATCCACTGAGTGGTCCACCCATCAATTCCAGATCTCTCCATTTTAGAGACAAGGTTGTTGTATGGGACATGCTTTGCAGTAAACCAGGTAGATTTGAACTGGGCTGTTCTGGAAGTCCCAACATTGTGGGGAAAAAGAATGAGAAAATACCAGTCTTTGCACCCAAACATATGGAAGTGTTGAAGAGAATTGTTAAGGGAATAGTCAGACCATCAGAAGAATACCATGTGCTGTTGAAGTCAAAGGGTTCTAAGATGGTAAACCATTGGAGCCCCCCTATTGTCTGCATTTAGATGAGTTGGATGGGATTTTTTTACTGGATACCAATGTCTTGGATTTGATTCTTGCAAAAGAAGTAACAGTACTGTCTGGTACTGCACAGATGCATGTAGGAATGCAGCTGAGAGCTAGTAATGCCAGCTCTAGGCAGCTTGGTCAGGTGTTCTTCATCCTCAGCCTTTTTTCTCTAAAAACACACATGTTGGATAAAGCACTGCATTGGACTTGAACCACTCATCACCAATTACAGAATTATGGGTTATAATACATGTCTAGGAGCCTTCTAAGTCCTTCATTTTGGGTACATACAAGGTAGCTGCTTTCTGAGTTCTTCTCAGCTAACAAGAGTGACTACAACTGTGGAAATGATAGTGAGGTACTTTCTAGTAGTCCATCCACCAGTCGCTTCCAGCTGACATCAGCATTGCAGTGTTTTTTTTTAATGACTGGAACCTGTGTGATCACTGAAACCATCCACTGCAATTTTCTCTAGTTCTACTATCATCATCATCACCATTATCATCATCCTCCTCATTATCATCATCACCATCACATAAATGAGTATATGCATGTCTTTTAATGAAGGAAATACAGTGAGTGGTTGACCACTGAAGGACAGCACATCTGTAGTGCCAGTTTCCTGAAGGATCCTACCCTCTATTTTGGTTTAAACAATAGACCTTAATGATCTGGAAGTTGTTTTCTCAGAATCCTTTGGAGGAAGAGGAGGTTCTGTACTAACAAACTCTAGACATGAACTCCAGGCAATGTTTACTAGTCTTGAGAAAACTGACCTTTCATTAATATTAGTGGCTTCTTTGTGCTGCATCAGCTTGCTGCTCAGTGTTTGTAAACTTCTCAGTCAGTTCCCCCAGGATCTCTGAAAAGCGTGGAGCTGCCACAGCTCCCCAGTGGTGCAGCTGATACCCAGCTCATCCAGTCTGTCCCTTGCTTGGACAAATCCCAGTAGCAAACTAATCTGAAACACCAGCATCCACTACCAGAAAATTTGTGAGCAAGGTGGAGGCTCAGGCTAATCAGACTATCTATTGCAGATAATTTGCCCAGATTTAGATTTATAATCAGTATGTAATCTGCCTTCTACCACTGTGTGAGGGTGTGGGATACAGTGTATACAAACACAACTGGAAAAGCCCCTGCTACATACTGCTTTGTAGTCAACTATGTCCTAGAGAGGAAAAGAATAAACATTAGCAAACAATTCTGACTTTCCCCTAACCTTTGCAATGAAATCATCCTATAATTTATGGTTTGATTTTTTTAAATGACTTTTTATTGGATGAAAAAGCTTATGTGTGCATAAAAGTTCAGCAGTCAAGAGCATGTGTATACACACAGCTCCTAAAGACTAGGAGCACCAGGCTCCTTTTTAATTCCCCCCAGCACCCACCCCCAAAAAAATGAAAAAAATCATGAACAATATCTTGTGTATGAGTTGGAATCCAGACAAAAGTGGAAAAAAACCTTGCCCTTTTTGTGTTTTATGGTATTCTACTATCTTTTAAAGTTATGGTTTTTTGTGTCAGCACTCAGAAGATTTTAGGTGAGATAAAGTGTCCATTCTTTTCTTTTTGCCTCTTTTTTTCCACCATAGCATCTGGGATCTTAAAACCTAAAAAAAACCCCTTATGATTTATCAGACCTAATTGTCTTGCAGTGGGCTTTCAGAGAGATCATTAGCAAATTCAGACATAAAGCAGATGTTCCAGTGATGACATGTCAGCAGAAGGGAGTGTGTTTCTTTTTTACCTCCTCCTTCTTTCTTATTCCTTATCAAATCTCATTTCCCTCAACACATATGTCATTTATGGGGGTGTGATGTTTGTTGGTGGGAGCAGAGGGGCAGGAGCAGCTCTTGCAGCACCTGCACTGTGAAGTCACCGGGGTCCTCTGCTGTGTCTGGCCATGGCACACCAGCACACAGGTACAGTAGGTCAGGATGGCAGGTAGCACACCAGGATTAGTAGCACTGCCATGCATACGCAGGTGAGTGGCTGTGTTTATGTGTCACACCTGAGAAAAGCTTCCCACCACAGTTACCTAAATAAAACATCTCAGCTGCTGTCCTGGCTTCATGTCCCAGCAATGAGGCCCTTTCCATGAATATGTTCATTTGCCAATTGCCTGGGTGGAAAAGGCTTGTAACAATTCAGCTTCTGAAGCACATTTATTTAAACAAAGTATTATTTATGAAGATTTTCCTTTAAAAAATAGATGTCCTCTGGCCTGAGGGAAAGCAATAAATGCTCTAAATTATGTTCTCAATCAATAATTAATCTTGATGACTGGACAAAGGAGTAAAGAAAGGAAGAAACAAGAGCTTCAATTTATAAAGAAACATTTTTCCCCCAGCTGCCCGGCAGTCTGTGTTGCGAAGCAGAACAGAACATAGGGTACATCTGAGTCTGAAAAGGCAAAGAAAAAAATTGTGATTATATCTAGAATTTTATAGCATTTTCTCTAAGAAAAAAATCCAAGGAACAGAAAAGATGAGAAAGATGCCAGATAGCTGTCTTGATAAAAAACATTTCCCAAAGAAAAAACAATGGAAACCCTGCCAAATCAGGATCCTTGGTGCATGGTTATATATCAAATCCTTCTCCTTTCCCCCTTAAAACTATGCTGCATGCAAGATTTATTTTATTCTTGTCATGGTAAATAAATCTATGTCTGCTTTCCTTTTTAGGAGTGAATACCAAACTTTAAGTACAGTTGCACCAATTTTAAGTTTCAGTATATCTGCACACATAATTGTAACAACACATTTACAACAGAAATGTCACACAGAGGCATCATATCTCCCACTACATTTTGTTTCTAATATGAGGAAGCCAGAAATGGGCTAAGCTAGAATGCTTATCAACTTCCAGCCTCCAATTTCCCTTTCCAGTTAAGAAAGCTGAGGAAGGCTTTGAGAAGAGTGGAAGACTCACAGCTGCTGTTCTCCCATTCCAGAGCCAAAATATCCACAAAGACACAATCACTGTATTTTTTTGCACCTCCCATCACTCTTTGTATGGAAAGAAGGGAGGTTTTGGTAGCAGCTCTGACTTTGTGATGGTAATGGGATGGTCTTCAGTGCTCCCGGGTCTTTTATAGATGAGCATTACCATTAAAATCAGAAACACTTCAATCTGGAGTAAGTCCTGTGGTTTTGTGAGTAACCCTCTGTTCTGTATGGCTAATGTTCTTGTCTACCTTTATCTTAAAAATGAGATTATAATGTATTTGATAAAAGCTGCAGCATGATAAAAGGCTAAATACTTTATAACATCCAGTCTTGTAGGGTTTTTTGACTGCAAAGTAATTTCAGTGTGAATCAGCATTAGTGTGGCTCACATTGAGTGGATTACTAACTAAACAGACAAGAAGTGACAAATTTCAATTTGAACACAGGAGAACATTGGCAATGGAGTCTTATCACTGAGTAGGTGTTTCTAAAGGTATTCAGTTCTGCTCCCATGTTATCTAATGTTTTTTATCAATAATCTCATAAACCCCACAAACATTCCTGTAATATTTATATACAATAAATATTGATATTGATGTAACAATGATAGCAAACTCCCTGTTCAAAGGCAAAGTGTAAGAAGATGAAGCAATTGTTGCAGTTGAGACAGAAATTTTCAAGAGTGAGGATGGCTAAATAGCTGGAAAATCAAAACATCTCTCAGGTGAATTTAACATAGTGTGTAATTAATTCCTGCATAACTGGATGCTCAGGAGAGGCAAATAAGCCCTTAGGCATGAAGAAAGGCAAAATCCAAGGCATGGTATAGTCTTTGGGTTCATCATGATGGACTGTCAGCCCAGTGCTTCCATATCTGTCTTGTTGGGACCACTGGATTTGTTTCAAGAGTGAGCAAGGAGACATTTCTGTCCAAGTTTTTCCAAAGTGTTTTTTGCCATTTTCCAACATCTCCTCCATTTTGGTGACACATATAGCTACCCAGAATAGTTGCTGGAGATGGTGCAGGAACAAGTCAAGCACACATGGGAATGTTTGAAAAGCCAGTTGCTAGATGCACTGCAGATGTTGCTTGTTTGGAACACTGGTAGCGGTTCTGCTCACAGTTATTTCCAAAAATAGACTAAACACTGACGTGAATAGCATATTCTTTTTTTAATCAATACTTTCACTTTGCCATAGTTTTCTTCTACATTTTAGTCTATGAAATGAAATGAATGAAATGAAATGAAAGAAAAAGTGACTGCGAAGTGAAGTTAAAATATCTCAGGAAAAAAAGAATAAGATCCACAATGGGGAAGGCTAGCTTTTGATTTTCACTGAATGACATCCTTAAAAACAAGTAGAATTATTTTTTCTTGCAGAACCTTGTCCTTTGTCTGGCATGCTTACAAGAAAAGCAAAACAAGAACAGTATGCATGAAATTGTGCACTGCAAATACTCTATGCCTTACAAATGGAAAAAAAACAATTATCACTGTGGATGTTATTGCCTCATAGTTTTTGGGTTTTCTTTCTCTTCCCTGAATGTCATTATTCCAAAATTTTTTACGAACAAACAAACTTATAAAATATGTGTAAAGAATTAGGAGATAATGGTTTTACAGATAACACATTAATTTAAAATAAATTTGTAAGTTTTTCTTAAATAAATATTAAATGTTTCAAACATTGACCCTTCTTTTCAGAGATGGGGTTGTTTTTAAACAGTTAAGTTTAACATCTTATAAAAAATCTGATTCAGATATAGCTTAAATTTTAGAATCCAAAATTAAGCAATTGTTTAAAATTCTTTTAATAATGAACTTTTGTATTTGCTTGAACAGGGAGTAGTTTTGAACTGCATAGTACTCACCTGCATGGAAAAAAAGAGTCAACCCCAGCCTCTGAGAACTGTAGTCTGAGGGAAATCCTAGATATGCAGGAGAAGTAGGTTGGACTCTCTGTATGTGTATTTCCCCATCACTAATTTACACCAAAGAAAAGTATTTTCCTGTCTCTTCATTCCACATGCTCCTCAAAATTCAGAGTTGAGCCTGAAGGTGGAAGATGTCACCCTCCAACATAAATATCTGTTGCAGGTTAATGAAGCTGTGAGGCTATGATGGAGTGGGTGCTGCTAATCTCAGAGTTACCACCTACACAAAAAGACTTTTCCTCTGCCAAACACCCCCAATGCCAGTGACTTCAGTGGAGTCTACAAGTACTTGGCTTGTCAGAAATATGTACCAAAAAGTACCCGAATTGGCCAATTATAAAATTTGCTGCTACTACTCTGGCTGTGGCTTTTGTAATTAGTTTCAAGACAGGCAGTTTCTGATACTGAGTTACTTCTGACTGTGTACATGATGCTGAGTGGGTAGCACCAATGTAAATCATCAACCCTGCTCTCAGCAGGGATGCTGTTGGCGTTCCTCACTGGAATGTGCACTGGGGCTGTGCTCTGTGAGCAGCAGCAGCCTGTATCTGTACTTCTCAAGAAGAGGAAAGAAATGGCTTTGTGGAAGAAACTTCCGCATTACAGACATTCCAGTTGTTCCTTTGAGCCACAGCCATAACTCTCTCCAGATGTAACCCTTCACTTCTCCTTCTTTACAAGTTTATTTTCCTTGTAAGGAAGAAAAACATGGAAAAGATTTTTGGTGGGTGTAAACCAAGCTGAGAAGAACTGAATGTAAAGAATGAAGAGGGCTTTATACAACATTTGGCAACAGCCAGTGAGCTGAGTCACAGACACAAAGCCATGGAAGAGCTAGACCCCATCAGATGCGTCTGTCTAGGTGAAATTCATCTTCTTGCTTAACATAGCATGGGGGGAGTATGTGTGTGCTTGTGCAAACACAGGAAGAGAAATCTTTGCCTAAATTTATGGCTTGACCGAGGAACTCTGGCCTCTGTAGCTCCTGCTACAAATTTTGGGCCTGACTGAAATCTGGAGGTTCTGTACACATCCTGCCTGGGAGGGTTCTACCACAGCAAACACGTATGTACAAGGCTATGGCACCTCTATAGGCTCTTATGCTTCTCTGTAGATGTTCTCTAGAGTAGGAAGAAGGTACACATGAAAGTACTCAATTTTCATGTTTCTAAAGTGTTCTCCTGATAAGAGTATACTGATAATTCTGGATTTCATTTTAAGTTTTGGGCATAGGCATGTACCCTTCCAGTTTTTGTATGAGGAACTAGGAAACTTCCTAGTTTTCAAGGCTGGAGCTAAACCTATGTCCAGGCATGATGAAAGAGTAAAACACTTTTAGTCCCCCCACCTGGGAACCCTATCTCACAATGTGACTAAGGGCAGGGGACTAAATAATGTGTGCTATTTTGACCTTTTGGTGAGTAACAGCATTGTGGTAAAAGCTGAAGTGCTGATTGAGGTAAGCTGCCTTTTAACAGAAATCTCCAAACTCTGCTCTCCTCACAGTAGAGCCATGAACGGACCTGCCCAAGCAAGTCTATTCTCCAGAGAACCAAGTGAGCAGAAAGAGGAGTTACAAGAACAAAGTGTAGACCCCAGAACTTCAGGATTTTTTTTGACCTTTTTTTTGGAGTCTACTGGATGGAGAAATCATAGCAGCAGTCTCAAAATAGTAATTTTATTGACTCTGCTGCTGTATTTTTGTTCTGTCTGGCCACATTAAGAAATGAAAAAATGTGGGTTTATTTTCCCTGAACAAACACAAAGCACAGCTTGTCAAGGGACCTTCAAGCAGATATTTAGCTTTTCCTGATGTTGCAAGTAGGATAGTGAGCCTATCATATTTGTACCTTTAAAAACAAGCCCCACTGACAAAACCAGATCCATTAATTTAAGATGCCAGCAACCCTGAGCATCTCCTAAATATTGCCAAATGTGGCTTCATACTATTAACATTTTCTTCACCCAGAAGCCCTCCTGAGGCTGTCAGTTTGTCAGAGTGTGCCTGACACCCAGAGCCGCAGCCTGAGGGCAGAGGTCAGCTAAGACAGTAGCATAAGAACAGAAAACATGAAAACCCTTACTCATCAGTGACACCAGAGAAGGCCCAGGAAATTACCTGGGAGCAAATGAAGACCTTCTGCTGAGGCCTGGTGGGTACCTGAATGCCACCTCAAAACATTTCAGTGTGGAGCCTCCTGTCTTGGTATGTGTGAGGTACAGTATTTCTCTTCTAAGGACAGGCTGAACTACTGATTCAATAATTCACATTTGAAAGAAAACTCTGCACACACAAATGCAGTAGGCCAGGATTATTCCATATTTTATGTCAACACATAGATATCCTAGAGAGCATTGTTTTTCTTTCCTTCCCCCCACTTCTAAGTTTTTTGGTCTGGTTTATGTTTAGATTCTTATTGAAAACATGTGAGAGTATCACAAACATGAATTTGGCTGCCAAGACTTAGATCCCTAAAGCCATACGTAGGTATCTAGAGTGGTTGATTTTCAGGGTTCAGAGTTCAAAGCATGGCAGAGCAAAGCATTGATTTAGGTGTCTACATAAAAATGCAGTTGCTTGTTTTGAATGGTCAAGTTAGAAAAAATATTCCCAGTATATTCAGGAAATTGAATACGAAAATGATGAACCTTTGAGCATTTGACAAGTTAAATGTTTCAATGATTACCAGAACATGGCAAGGCTGTAAACTTTCCAAGACATTCATTGGGGACCTCAAACAACATAGCTGGAATTCCAGGCTTCTACAAGTGAATTTATTGGCAACGGATCACATTCAGACTGATTGTTAGGAAACCTAGGGCTGATTTAAGAGAAATTTAGGAGCCTTCAACAGAGTAATTTGGACCACAGAGGTATCCAGCCTTAACACTGCTGCTTCTACTGCTGCTGTCTGTGGATGTTCACGTGTTATTGCACAAACTCAGAAGTGTACCAGCATGAGCACTTCATTGCTGGAGGTTTTGCAACTGGTGCAGAATATCTCAAAGTCTGTGGGAGGTCCAAGCCACTGAGCTTATTTAGATGGTGTCACACACTGACAGGCTCAAGAAAGGATCAGAGGAGGAAGGGACACTATAACAGCCTCTTTGCCACTGTACTCAGCCAAAAAAGCAGAGTAAGTTAATGCTGGAATTAATTCTACCTGTCTGGATGTGAACAACCATTTACTTCTCAGGAGAGGGCCATAACTGGGTGATGGGTATGTCTGGGGAGACACATATGCATCATCTTTCCCATAACACTAGTGCCACTGGTGCAGAAAAGGATTCTGGACACCTGGGAACCACAGGACAGCAAGCATTGGCACTCAGGGGGTAGGTATCTTCTTGATGTTCTAAATGCCCATGCTTTGAGCATTCTGTAATACAGAAGATCCAACCCACTCACTCTTATGAGCACAGAGCACAGTCCCAGGAGATCACTTTACTCAGTTGACTGCAGTCAGACCCTTCTACTCTCTCTGTGGTCCCTCTGCATCATGGGCTGCTTTGAACCACAGCACAGCCAGAGCAGAACATGTAACACAGGGCTGAGATGAGCTCCTGGGCACAACTTCTGCCTGCTTGTCTCACCTACTTTGCACACCAGTGCTCTTCTAAAAAGTGGCCTTGGGACAGTACATCCCACTGGCACCCAGTGTCTCAACCCCCAGCAAGGCAGGAAAAATAGCCCAACTTGATGCCTGCTGTTTCTTCCTTGGCACCAGACTCAAATGTTACCAGATGGGCTTAAGAGAGTTGCTGGAGAGTAAACGCAGAGCTGTCATTTCCACTGGCTGTATAAGGTATAGGAGTAACTAGGAGAAATGCTCTGGGTTGCATTGATGGGCCAGATGACTTCTATTTAGGTATTATGATGCCCAGTTTAGGATCCAGAATAGGAAGTCTGCTTATGGCCCTGACATGCTATGACCAGCCAGAATAATTGCTTATTATTCTGTTCATAATCATGCCATTGTTTCTGTATGGTTCTCTTTTATTACATCCATCTGCTGTTCCATATTTTATATTTGAAGTGCGAGCCTTCTGTGCCACAAATTTGGTCTATGCCTAGCACATAGTAAAGGCATGCCAACACCCAAATCCTGCACTTCCCTCACAGGTCCTCGTGGAAGCACTAAACAGTTGAATGAAATACTTAAGACAGTAGATCATGTGGAAAAATGCTACATTCCTCCTTAGATTACCAGCATTTGAGGTGTTTGTCAGCTGGTGTCTGCTATCTAGTGAGGTAAAAAATTCAGGATTTGGATGGCATAGTAAGAGATTGACTCTGTTCATCTTTTTAAGCTGTAGACATCATTGGAGCACATGGAGAAGAAAACAGTTTTTACAAAAGCTTTACATGCCAACTTTACATCTGTGACAAAAGCCAGCCAAAATAAGGAACTGCATTGTTAATACACAGGCTCCACTGCCAGCTTCTTCCACTCATGGTGGTTTTATGGCAGCTTTGGATGCTGATATGAAGTGATCCTGCTCTGTTTGACAAAACACCATGGCTAGGCCAAGACTGTCAAGTGTTCTAATATTTCTGACTGCTCAGTTTCAGGCAGCTCTGATTTTTTGGGGGGCACCCAGGAATTCAGTGCTCCAGTCACTTCACCTGTAACCACTCCTTATTTGAGTCAACATACCAGCTTGGCTGTTGCTCACAGACATACATTTTCAACTCCTTGAAATCCTCTTCAATGATCTGATTTGTGGTTGCTTGTATATCGGTACTCCCATTCAGGGCTGTGCATCTCTTCTGTTAGTGAAACAAAACATGCAATAACCTACCTATAGAGCAAAGACAGGGCACAACACTTCTATCTCATTGTTGAAAATCTCCAGAGTAATTCTAGAGAAGCTCTACATGTGACATATAAATTCTATATAATTCTATGTTCAAAAGAAATACAAACTTGATCCTTTCAGTGTTCATGGATCCAAGGCTGAAAAGATAAGTACTTAATATTACTAGTTCTTCCAACCTAATTTTTTCTACATGGCAGCTTGGAAAACTATTTTTTTGTATGACAGTTCAATAGCTTCATATATATTGGATTGATGAGAATGGAACAAGTAGACTTTTCTTTTCTGCAAGCCTGAGATGAATAAATAGCTCAATCACAGTAGTAGTAGTAGTAGTAGTAGTAGTAGTAGTAGTAATAGTAGTAGTCCATTACTACTTTTTTCATCAGCTTGGTTTTACTTTATTTTATCACTTATAAATGAGGGGCCAAGTAATGCAAGAATAAGCAGCTAAAAAATAATCCTATATAGTTTTATGGGTCTGTGGGGAAAGAAAGGAGCAGTCACATGCTTCTCCAATACAGGCACTTGAATTTGCAGCAACGAGCCCATGGAAGCTAGTGTTACTCAGGACCGATATGTCTTTTTAAGCTTGCTTCCACCTTAGAGAAATAGGAGAGTCCTGGTTTCCACGTGAGGAGTTTATTATTTGCAACACATATCCAGCACTGTTATTTGGTGGCCTTGCTGCAGATGA